CGCCATCGTGACTCCCAAAGCTCTCCAGAATGAACAGTTTGCTGGTCATGATGACTTTGGTCCTGCTGGCGGACGCCAGGCCAGAACCTATGCCGGTGTTGCCCTGTCGCCCGCAAGACGTGAGTATATCATTTCTACAAACTCATATCACATCCAAGTTTCTTTATAGTGTTGCAATTTCTGAGCAAAGACTTTAGCGTGTGACCCAACCCTCCGGAACGTTTCGTAAAAGCTTCAACGAAATAAATGTCAATTTTTCAATTTACTGTTCACCGATCCCACGAAGTCCCGCTGCCGATTCGAGGTCCCGGAAGGTGAACACCACGTCGTCAAGAAAAACCGGGCCTTGGGGACCCGAATTGGATTTCTCAGTGGCCCAGACCTGAACACATACTGGGACTTGTAAACTCCATGAATAGGCTGGACAGTGTTTAAGATGTCGGTTGTGTTTGATCTGTAAACCGTGCGGTTTATAATTTTGCTTATTGTAATGCTTTCTTTCTTTTTGTACTTTCCTCAATAAAAATGACATTATGCAATACTTTTTGGTATCATTGACATAGAATAAGCTGACGCGACAATGCGTCTAGTAGGTATCCCAACTCACGTAACACCTGATAGGTCACCATCAGTCCGTTAGCAGGCTGCATGTGCATTGAACGTGCATCGGACTGATGTGCAGGCATAGACGTCACGCTGCAACTTCTCCAACAGTTACTGCACTCTAGTAGGTTCAGCGTAACGACTTAGGAGTTAACATCGTTGTATAATAGAGTATGGCTCCTGATTTCAAAAATACCACCCCCCCCCCCCCGCTACCCTGGAGCCTTCACTTTGAAGTTAGAGTCCGTAGTGGGCTCTTGTGTAGCGCTGACCGTATCGGTAGCGCGATGGTGCGGCCAAGACGCGCGAAGCACTTGGTTGGCACGTACCGCTTATCTTGTACGGAGTTCATGAAACTTAGCATGTCAAAACGTATGCATTTTGCAGCGTTCGATTATTGTCCACATTAGGTACAAACTCTATCTACTCCGGTTTAAACACAAACAGTATACGCCTAAATAAATTATAATTAGTGATACATAACTGGAAAGTACTTCGACGTCGGAGTTACAGGAAAACCAATGTAATCGATATAAAAATTAACGATATTGTTAATTTGATTTGACGATTATTTTATATTTAATTAGTGCGAATTGCGTCAATATGGTTTCATATTTCTGATCATTATCCTGAAACTGTTATCGATAGGGTATTATAAATAGCGATCATAAATTGCTAGTAGAAAGCATTAGCTCATAAACAGCCACGGCGTGAACTAGTTCGTCCAGAGCAACACTGTGACCGAAGACCTGGACATCAACGTCCGTTTCTTTCGCCATTCGCAGCTACTGGATCGTGACTGCCAAAGACTGCAAAATGCCCAAGATGCTAAGAAGTGAGTATATCATTTCTACAAACTCATATCAACGTTATTCTGAGCAAAAACGTTAGCGTGTGCGCCAACCCATCGGAACGTCTTGTGAGGTCCAACAAAATGAATGTCAATTTATCTGTTTACAGGTCACCGATCCGACCGGATCCCGTTTGACGAGAGCAAAGAAAGCCGACACAATACCGACACGAGACTCCCACGTCGTCAAGAGACCATCGCTGATGGGGACCTGAGGAATTGGATTCCTCGGTGGCCTACCAGATCCGAATTAATACTAAAGATTTTAATTATCACAAGTACCTTAATACTGTTTGAGATAGTCATTACATGTCTTTTGTCACCTGTGCGGTATTTAGGTTCGCTCATTATAGCGATGCTTTATTTGTTTTACTTTTTAAAATAAAAATTATTATGTATACTTGTTGGTTTCATTGACATAGAATAAGCTGAGGCGACACCGCGTCCGGTAGGTATCCCAACTCACGTATGAGCTGAGGTCACGATTGGCGCTTTAGCAAGCTGCATGTGCACTGAATGTGCATCGTACCGACGTGCAGGCATAGACGTCACGCTGCAGCTTGTGCAGCAGTTGCTGCACTCTAATGAGTCGAGCATAACGGGTTAGGAGTTAACATCAATGCATGATGGAGTTGTGTCTCCTGATCTCAAAAATGACACCCCCCTCTATCCCCGACCCCTAATTTTGAAGTTATAGCCCGTACGTTCTTGAGCACCTGACTGTACTGATGACTGTATCTTAGGTATAACAGGTCTTGAGCGCTGAACAGGTAATAGACCAGCGGGAAATGGTGGTGGTACTGGGATCACTGGTACAGACTCTGTTGGTTCTACATCAATTTGTTCAATTGATGACCGATTCGCATCATGTAACTGTTGCCTTTGCACTTCCCTATTAGCTGCTTGCCAACAGGCAGCACAAACTCTTGAAATTCTTGACACCTATAAAAAAAAGATAAGTGAACTTGAATTTAATGAAAAACCATCTACAACTATTTTATGCAATAGAAATATATTTCTTATAATAATAATAATAAATCATTTATCTGACAAGATATGGTAAATTATACAGATCTCAAAAATATAACCAACATGACCTGTCGCTTTTATCAACATGCAAATACTTATAGGTAGTTGCAGTATTATCCAGAACTCAATCTTTAAAAACTATATATATTATTTATATACCATAGTCATGATTGAGTTAGTTATTATATAATCAATTTCATTAATATACTACATGACAATTGTGCAATGTAAAAAAAAATGTCAGTCATGTTTCAGTTAGTATTGAAATCAATTTAAATAAATTATTATTAATATAACATTTCAATCATGCAATGCAATAATAATAATAATGTCACAGTCATGTTTTAATTAGCATTGAAATCAATTTTAATAATTTATTCTTGATAATAATATCTTATACCATACCTGATGTGCTGGAGTCCATTTAAGAATAATATTTCTTTCTGGACAGTGTAGTGAAACCCTGTACGATCGACTTCTTAATATGGATTTTCCACAACCAAAACAGACTTGTTGATAGCCATATTGTGGTGCAGGTACTTCTTCGGTGGTGTCACTAGCTTGTAGTAGCATAAAGCATTCGTTGCACACTATGCCCCCATTCAATATCTATAACAAGTCAAAAATATTAATATTTATTTGAACATGTGAATGAAATTAAAACATTATCTCACGGTTGCGATTGTATTACGATATATTTTTAGTAATATAAGTAAATAATTACTTACAGAATCAGGTGCGATCCATGAGCTTAAAACATTAAGCATTGAATTGGATAGCATGTCCAAAGAATGTACTGGCTGTCGTCGTGGCACTGATATACAACAGTTAATACAACGTCGTTGCATACTGCCTGCGTTTTCTTGTGTAACACCAGATGCCATTGTAAACAAAAATAATTACAATAAACTAAGAGTCCAAATATCTCTGTTAGAATCACTAAAGGTAACTTAACACTAAATCAACGAGTCCAATGCTCTCTTTCCCAAAAACAGTTATTAACGGAGGATTACTCAACTCAACATTAAAACTATTCTGCCACAACACAAATTCAATTCAAAATTGAAAACTGCACCGGAACAAACAACAAACACGTTGACAACAAGTTGACAGCTACCTACTTCACTTGCCTATGGTATATATTTCGATTTGATTCTATAGGAATCGATTCCTACACAATCGATTAATAAATGTTTTATTTTTCAATGCAAATGCTTAAAATGTTCAAACCATGAGTTAATTTATATATGATTAAGTAATTATATATAACATAACTGATAATTTAAACAAAAATATATTCCCTTTTTTAATCTAAGATGTGAATATGTAGTACACATATAAAAGTTTTTGTATGCGATCTACTGTTTGATGAACAAAATAGTCCGCAGACAAAAAATCCTCTTTTGCGCAGCCCATTAAGTTCCTTTTAGTTTTTAGATGCAATGAAAGAGAGCAATCACTGGTAGGTACAGTGACATTGTCACAACACAGGTCTTACAAATGATAACTTTATGAATTTAATGTTATTTATCATGATATAATATTGGTAAAAATGCTCGTATCCATCATACAAACATTTGCCTCACTGGAATTCGAAACCAGGCCCTCTGAATAGGCGATTTGGGGGAAAATAATCTATCCATCGATCCATACAAAAATCAAACAACTCGCATCGAAGACCTCAAAATAAAAAATGACTACGAATTAACGAATGATCATTATTTCGTAGTCATTTACGGTGTTTGGTAAAAATGTTTCAGGCTATTTACAATTGTTCTATGCTTTCAATTATAATAAACGTTTTATTTTTTCTTTTTGAAGTGAAACTTCTTTACGCACTCTTGACTTGGGGAGTAAGCTAGCGAACGTAAGCGTTAAGAAAAGTGTGATCGGGCGAGGCGAACGGGAGTTGAGTGGGGGATGTAAGCTTGAGAAAGCAGTGCGCGTGCACATTTTCTTTCTCTCTTCCTCTCATAGCCAAATACGTTCCGTATATCTAAGCACAGTGCAAGCCTTTTGTCTGTATCACAGTGTAGGAGCAAGAGCGCGCGCACGCATTTTCTTTCTCTTTTTCTCTTACAGCTAGTAAATGAAAGAAGTTTCACTTCAGTTGTGTAGTCAGAAGCACACTCGTTTTTTTATGTTAAGAATATTTAAATAAAGAAATATAATCGATTTTTTTTCCTACGATCGATATTATCGACCAAGTGATACAACTTTTATCTATGGTTATTGGTTATTTACTCAGTTTAATAGCCATTTATTTATTATTTTAAATATCCGCATAATATTTACATAATAAACACACATATGAAATGATAATTCAGAAGAAGATTTTTGATACATAAATGCGTCAAGCGCAATCTAGGCGGATTTGCCCATTCTCCTTTCAGCCCGATCCGTCCAGTGGCTTGGTCTGTGCGTTGATAGATCACTATGTCAGTCAGCCACCTTTGAGTTTTATATACATAGATTTTCTTAACTAATAATTTTTCATCAGAAGGTTGCGTGTTCAGATCACGTCGGGGTCACCAATTTGGCTCCTAGTGCCAGGAGATGAGGAATGAAACAGCCAGTGTGTCGCTTGATAACTAAGAGCAATATTTATTTCTGTTTACATCTTATATACCAATTTTCTTAACTAATAATTATGTGCGTCAGCTGTAAATTCCGTGCTCGGCGTGTTCTCTAGGATTAGGTAGTGAGGAATACAATATCTACAAATAATTCAATCTACTTCTATATTTCACAATTAACTCACATTGATTGAAAAATATTAGTGAATAGGATCGAATATAATTTTAAATAAAAATACCATTTCATGCTCAATATAATATGAATATAGAAATTATTCATAACTAAATAACATTGATCAGGGGTACCGCTATTGATATGACATTAATGCAGAATTTTATATTATTAACTAACACGAAAGGTCTCGTAAATTGATGAACAATTAACAATTTTCTTTAAATATTTACGCGGTTATTGATCTAATCAATAAAAATTGTTTTCATATGTCATAATTAAGCTATACCTAGGCCCCTTGATCCGAAAGTATCTAAAGCTATTAAACAATAGTATTATCATGTTGATGAAAACAACATTAATTATTCTGTTTGAGACGAACTCTTTATTCGATATAAGGCCAAACCAAGTACTTTTTGCAATACCATCTTTCACATAACATTATGACAGAAGCGATCACGTAGGCGCTTGCTAGATACATAAGGGGAGTGTATATCTGAGAGATCTCGACTACATGAAGTCCCAGCCTATTACAGTTCAAGTGTTGGTTAGAGTCGAAGGAAGTCAGACGATGGAGGACTCCAGCTTCTTTTGCTCTTAATGTGCTGAAAATGATACATCACCATCAGCCTATTAATACCCCTACTGCTAGAGCACAGGCCTTCCGGATGGAATAGAAAGATTGGGCTTGCCCACCAGTGCGGATTGGTGGGTATTTACGACTACAAATGCAGCCGGGACCAACGCCTTAACGTGCCTTCTTGGATGTGGATTTTTCTTCTGCTTTTTGGTCAGCCATCAGTGACTGACTATTGCGAATGTTGCTTAACTTCCACGACTGCAGACTGAAAGCGCTAGTTACCAATTTTATTGAATTGGGTTACAAAAGTTATGAATTATCTAAATCTTATGATTTATTGTATGTATGTGCATACAATAAATCATACTCAGACACAAATATTTTGTGCTCATGAGACACACACCTGAGATTTGAATCCAATTTTTTGGAGCAGAAGGCAGGAGTGCTACCGTTGCACTGGCTATTTACCAATTCTACTCTAAAAATAATACACTAGATCAGTTTTTCTATTTTGAATCACAGGAACTTAAACCTGAACTTCACTCTTCTGAGCTATTTTTCTTCTCAGGTCTGCTAGTACCAAAGACATTAAAAAAAGACTGTTGAATTTCTTGCACTCGCTTATAATATTGGTGATATCCCTCAATTATCTTTTGTACATAATTGATTGACATGGGTCAGCAGTTGTGCTGACCCTTTAATACATTTTCGACTTTGAGCCGAGTAAATTCACTCAATTTCTACCAAATACCCCTGAATAGCCAATAAAAAAAATTAGGCAACTTCGGTTTGACTGCAACTGAAAACTTACCCAATAACTAATTGTTCTCTGAACCGAAAGTTTTTCGATGAAAATAAATATTTTCTGACTTCCGGCAACAAATCAATTTCATTCAATTGACATATCTCGTCATTACTTAAAGCTGTAAAAGAGAAATCATCATATAATTAAAAAACAACAAGGCATTAATTTATTATACGATAACATCTTTTAATCACTCCAAACTCAATGTGAGTAGCTAAAAATTTCTGATGGAATTCAGAAAACACAGCGTTAAAACCATCCAGACATCCAACCATTTTTATGAATAAAACAGGCATATAAATATCCTACTTTTGACCTCAACGCCAATCAAACTGGGATCTCGGAGATAAGTAATACCATATTGTGTTTGGCAACTCATATTCGTTTTCTTCAAGTAACTTCGAATTAATTAGTAGTTTTCGTAGAATTACTCATTTTTAGCTATCACTATTTTGATGAATTCACTCTAGTAATGGACCATAATTCATTTCAAATACCTGGGTACCATTATTCTTTATACTAGGTATATTTATTTGGTAATTTTCAAACATTCAAATAACACAAACTTACAAAGTACTTAGTATCCAAATTATCTGGGTATCTAAATTATTATATTACCATTTTCCACTTACCTCTTTTCAGCGCAGGATAGACTGAAATATAGTCAGAAAGCAAAGCACTTTTCTTCAATCTGAGATCTTTTACGGCTGTTGCCATGTTAACGAACCTGGCCCTGTTTAACTTTGGTCGTATAACGTCCGTCAAGTTACTATGGCCGGAGTACCAAGTGTACTAAAAACGAAAGTTGTCTATTAACCTTCATACAATTATGATTACACGATACACCTGGTCCTCCCTGATTTAATCTAGTTTATTAACCCTCTTCTATTTCTTAACTACTACTCTTCATCCTTATTTCTTATTCTTTTTGCTAAGGAATCTTCCATATGTTTCACAAAAAATCTGTTCCTTACAATGTCAATGCAACATTTTTACTTTATGAAATTTTCACAGAAGATGAAAATGTTTTTGTGTTCGTGAATAATCTCAGGATTACGTTGTTTCGTTAAATCCTACACGCTTTGAGCTTGATTCTGATTACGTCAGAAGATATTCGAATTGAAACGTTGTCGAGAATATATAATTCAGATTGACATTCTGCGGAGATCACAACCCGACACGCTGAGAATTTGAAGTCTCAATATAATAATTTATCATTAATTGACTCTATTCTATCTCGCACCCTATAAATAAAGGTTTGGTGCAGAATATTTTGGTGTAAAAGGACTAAACAGATTGATGACCGCAGGAGGTTTACTAAGAGTAGTAAAGTAACTAAATTTAAGACTTTTAGTTACTTTCCTACTCTTAAATATATATATATATATATAAATTGTTTCAAATTTCGCAAACATAAAAAGGAGTAGAATTCCTTCGTTATCTCTCTCGTATCTCAAAGCAAACATTTTACCACAAAATATTGTAATTGAAATGTATCTTGATAAATCACGTTGAATTTGGGACGAATTTGAAGAAACATTAAGCTTATAATTAATTTGGAACTCTGCCTATTAAGTATCACAACCAAATCACAAACAATTTATCGTTCCATTTAAACTTGAAATTGAAAAGAGACTAAACAAAAGAAGAACTCTTTTTTAATCAGCAGTCTGGGTGGGGAGCTCGGTTGTTTAGAAGTGATAGGTATTTGTATGTTGATTACATATTCCTTATTACCACAAAAAAGTTAGAAAGTAAGTTAGTATGCGTTCAACACGAGTTTAAGAAAAAGAGTCATAAAAAATTGCCTAAACAAGGTTTGAAACTGTGCCTAACTTTTGTGTGGTAAGACCAATTATATTTAGATCTCAGAGCATTCATAAAAATTCGTGAATTCTGTCGAAACCATGGTAAAAAATTTCACATTCGAATTACGGCGATCGTTAATGTCGATAATAAATCTAACGTTTATTGTATGGGCTATACTTTTTAAATTTACTTGTTGATAATGCGTCAATATTATTAGGTACTCTGTTAGAAATTGTAACTGCCTCCCTATTTGTTCATGATAATACAATGTGCAAAGAAATACACAGCCATAATCTTAATAAAACCAAATTAGGGAAATGTTATGACACCTATTAAAATATATTTTAAAGATGACACTACTCGATATAAAAATCTAAAGAAAATTTTACTAAAACAAATTCCATCACGTCTAGGTTTCAGAATAGTTTTTTTTTTGAGTGTGTATGCTGTTGGTCGCAGATGACCTTTACAGCATCACCGGGTTTGAGAGATGATGGCGAGATCCTAAAGGGACCACAAGCCGAGAATTGGCGAGTGCCTCTAGAGGTATTGTAGGCGGAGGGCATCATCCCACGGGGGGAGTCCCCTCTCCGTCTGGAGCCTCTAGACCACTCGAACCTGAGGGGGCTCAGATTAAATGGTCTTTTTTGTTATATTTAGACCTTTGTAACTTAGTTACTTACTGCTTAAAGCTATGTATGAACTCTATTACAATTAAATAAAAAGCTTACGAAAATTATAATTGTACTCACGTTGTTATAATAAACGTCCTTCATAGACTCCAATATTATAATTTCGTAGTCACTCTCTGTCAAATCGTCAAGCTGAACTTCATTCGCTTTGTCACTTACCAAATGCGACAGCAGGTTAGACGTATAGAATGTATAAATGATGTAACAATACAGAAAAAATGTGAAATGCGCCGTTCGTCGTGAATTAAAAATTGCATCCACTGGAAAAACTGGAATGAGAAATATTCGTATAGGTATACACCGTGAATTTTGAGTAACCTGAGAAACTTTACAAGCTAGCATAGCATGCAACTATTTAATTTCTTTTAGAATTTCTTAGGCTGCAAGGCAGCGCCATCTCTTGGTTGAAGAAAATTACCCCCCCACCTTACAGAAACTACGGCAAAATAAACTGTACCCGTCGGTGGTGTGTTTCTGTTAGTGACTATGGTTTCAAGGCATATGGGAGCTATTCTGAAGCACAAGCTATCTTCTCGACTAAACTGCAGTTACACTTAACTCGAGTTGGGATAATTTACTATACCTTTTTTAAGTGTACAAAAAAATATTTTTTTTTAAAAAATCATCCGTTTCAAACAAAAGCATATCAAAAATACTAATATTATGCAAGTGATCCAGTCTTTGAGAACCCCTAGTGGGCAAGTTTATTTGTCTGTGTCAGGAGCTCTGACTGTTCTATTTTACTAGAATATCATATTGGTTACAAATTAATATCCATTTATGACACGTTCTGAATATAATGTATATTGACGTTTATATCTTCTTATAAATAAAATTCTCGTGTCACAATGTTAGTTACCATACTCCTCCGAAACAGCCTGACCGTATTTTATGAAATTTTAAATGCATAATCCGTGTGTCTGAGAATCGGCTACTATCTATTTTTCATATCTTCAAGTGATAATGGTTGTCCACCTGTAACGTAGTGTTCTGAAACCTACAATGCGCCTTCGCGCCAAAATTCAAACTATTGGGTATTGTAATGTAGTGATTTCATATGGGTTAGGAGGAGTGTTATCCCAGGAAATTGATAGAACACTACGTTGCACACCCCTAAAAATTTTTTTGGACAATATTTTTTTTTTATAGTGTGGTATTAAGAAATACATACAACCCTAAATTTTCTCTTCTACCACCTGCCCCTATTTTTATGGCGGTACGAAGTTCGCTGAGTCAGCTAGTATCGATATGTTATCTAGAAAGGCTAGGTTAATGGATAAAGCTGCTGCGATTCATATAGAACAGCATTTTAATTAAACGGTGCCGCACTCAATTAATTCGCCACAACTTTGACTAACTTTCTACTCGAATGTCGTAAAAAGTTAGTTTTTAGCATTGGAAAAACGCGACGACATTGTGCTAATTAAAACCGACGCCACTATGGCCAGTTTGAGAAAATTTTATTTGTTCGGACAAATGCCGAACTCGTATAATTTGTGAACTCTGGCTTTGACTGGTATTTTCCGGATTATAGTAACTTAACAAAAGTGCGATTGTTTAAAAAGCAGTGTTAAATTAATGTGAATAATAAAATTAGGAGTTAAATAAAGATTATATTACCGTTTTTTTTCCAAAATTTGATACTATGAAGAAAAATTTAACAACAATATACCTAAAACCCGATAGCATAATGGCTAATACCTTGCGCCCAGATAGTCATTTAAATAATTATTTACGTAAGATGAGTCGTATTGTCCAGTAAAAAAAATGTGTGCACGGACTGGACTACACATATGAAGTAAAACTTCTTTTCTTAACTAACCTAACATTAGGCGGTGCATAAAACATAAGAGAATGGATGAGCGCACGCATCACTCATATATTATGTATAATATATATATATATACACAAACGTCCGAAAAGAATTACCACTTCAAAAATCTTTACTTATAAAAATAGTAAAATGGTACTTACCATGCTGACAATACCCTCCTATGGCCAACATCAAATACAGTCCGAAAGTGCATTCATATTTAGTTCGCACAAACCTTTTTTCTAAACAGCTGAGTATGTAAAACAACAATGTCACCAGGATCATCATTGCATACAAGCAATTCCATACAGGTCGGCTAAAAGGTTTGCTGTAGTAGCGTAGGAATACGCTGAAGTGATATGGACGACGAAAGATAAAACCAAATCTGCAAAAAAAAATTATTTATATGATGTAGCTTTAAAAAGAGCAGACTTAAAAGGTCTCGCTGGAACATTTTAAGAAAAAAACCCGGCCAAGTTCGTATCTGGCGCCGAACGATGTAGGGTTCTATACTAAGTTGAATATGAAAGTGCTAAAATTATGCTATCTTTAAGGGTAGCATTTCAGGTATTCTATTTTTCCACACAAACAGAAATAACCATTTTCCTGGTAGAGGGGTTCATTGCAGCCACTCAAAAAAAATGCTTAATATTTTTGCTGAAAATTACATTAGCATATCCGTAGTATGATCAAAAGACCTATCCGACGACCCCTCACTTCATGTTTATAAGCATTTAACTGTTATGTTTAAATGTAAAGAAAAGTTTACTAGAAAATATTCAACGCGGACCGGGCAGCAGACGGGACTCGAACCCGCACCCTTCGCTATTCGGGCGAATGCACTGATCATTATGCTACCACGGATATCAGCCCTGTCGAATTCTCTCTATTGTTTGTTAAGCTGAAGGGCAGCGTCATTTCTTCGCATTGTAGGTAACACTCAATGTCAAATGAATACCTTTACAAGTACATTTAAAAAAAACCTTTGCTCTAAATATGTAAAACAACAATGTCACCAGGATCATCATTGCATACTAGCAATTTCATACAGGTCGGCTAAAAGGTTTGCTGAAGTAACGTAGGAATACGCTGAAGTGATACGGACGACGAAAGATAAAACCAAATCTGCAAAAAAAACATACAATTTTATGATGTAGCTTTAAAAAGAGCAGAGTTAAAAGGTCTCGCTGGAATATTTTAAGAAAAAAACCCGGCTAAGTTCGTATCTGGCGCCGAACGATGTAGGGTTCTATACTAAGTTGAATATCAAAGTGCTAAAATTATGCTATCTTTATGGGTAGCATTTCAGCTATTATATTTTTCCACACAATCAGAAATAATATTTTTTTGGCAGAGGGGTTCATCAACTAAGTTCAGCAACCTAAAAAAGATAGCTTAATATTCTTTCATATTTTTGCTGAAAATTAGATTAGCATATCCGTAGTATCATCAAAAGACCTATCTGATGACCCCTCACTTTATGGGGTAAACGAGAAATAATCTTTTTAGGGATAACTTTATAACTTGATCGTCCCGCGCGACTTTTAAGTGTATTCATTCCAAATCAAAAATTTCTAGATTTAATCTCTAAGCTGAGCCGTGCGTGCGGATGGAAAAACATAGCGAAATATTAAGGGTTCTTTTTTAACTCGGAACCCTTAAAGGCTATGTGCTTGTTCCACTCACGAACAAACGGTTGCTTACAAATGTAAGATAAAATTGAATTAGAGCCTCTTTTAATGTCAACCAAATATACGTTGGAAAATATTTGTGTAAAGATTATTCGATTATAGCGAATCTGGAAATACACATTCTGTGTAAATTTCAGCTATCTACTATAACGATGGATAGATTAATATAGGACGGACGAAAAGCGAATGATTTTATAATATTTTTTATTTTAAACATTAACTGCTCGGTGTTTTAATTTAAAGAATTTTATAATAGAGAAAATTCCACGCTGTCCAGGCAACAGACGGGACTTGAACCCGCACCCCCCATTATCCGGGCGGCACTGACCTATAAATATGCTGCCGCGACCTTTTTCGTTAGCAAAAGATTTCTAATTTCGGTACATATACAGAACCCCAACATTAGGGAAGCAAAATACTCTCCAAACATACTATTAACATGAGCTTAAAGTCATTTAAAAGCAAATTTTCTGGCAAAATAGTGTTTCCACGCCTTTTATCCAAACATCTTGCCTGGGTAATTTGAATACCTGATAAAGCCAAAATAATCTGGCAAAGTCCGAGTCAGATTTACAAGAGTTAGTGTACAATGCTAATAACATACATATGTAATAAAGCCATACCAATTTGCAAAATCTTTATTTTTTGCGTAACTTATTTTATTAATGCCATTTTGTTACAGTTACAAAACTTTTGCATGAGAGCTTTATATAGGGTTCTTGATTTCACGGGTAAAGGTTTTCAATTACTGCTAAGTTAGTTTAATTCTGGCGGTATAAAATCAAATCAATAAATCATCATTATCAGTAATATACGCCGTCTCGAGAAGATAGGAAAATAAAATAAAAACTTAGTTAAAATAAAATAATCAGCGCGCTTTTTACTTTGGTTCTTTTCTCAAAATTAATTCAGAAAGCAAACAGTATCATGTTAAAAAAAATATTGCAAAGTCTGCAAAATCATACTGAACACTTAAAAAACAGCATGTTAACAAATAAATTTCCATAAAGTTTTCTGCCCACTCAAGGTGTTAAAAATAGATTTCCATAGACTTTTCCAGCCCGCTTAGTAGAACAACAGAAATGAGGTCCTTTCTGCTTCATTTTTAAAACAAGAACAAATCACTTTCCGATCAGGTCTAGGATAAAAAATTTAACATCCGCGGATACGGATACGGACGCAGAGCGGACTAGAAGTTTGACGCGATCTGTATCACTTACACGTTACCATCCTTTTAAACAAAATCTTATCGATGTTCGTTTCGTAGAAACCTCTGTTGAATACCCGCTGATAAACTTCTCTAGGAAGCTCATTTCACAACTTATTTCAAACTATTGTTGATTCTTTGTTCGAACTTATACGATGTTTAAAATGAGCTCTGCGCTTAGGGAAAGGCTCTCATATACGGGCGGGATCGCTGTCAAGTACCGAGTTACTGCTTGCCTTTGAACGTAGCGTACACTTGAGACACCGACAGTTAATAGGCTGCAACCTTTGAAATTATAACGCCCCACATTTACTGCCCTTCACGGCCCTTCGAAAAATTAACGAGAAGAAATAAATTCCCTACGCGGTCTTTCTAAGTACAATATATTCCGCTGTTGCAAATAATTATATTGTTACGTGTCGGGATGGGGTTCGAAATTATATGCCAATTCACGCTTCATCATCATCATCAGCCTATTAATTTCCCCACTGCTTGGGCACAGGCCTTCCTTATGGATGGATTAGGGAGATTGGGCCATGACTCCCCACGCGGGCCCAGTGCGAGTTGCTGGGTGCTAACGATTGCAGATGCAGCGGCTTAACGTGCCTTCCAACGCACGGAGGAGCTCGAGATAGTAAATTTTTGGTCACCCATCCAATGACCGACCTCTGCGAAAGTTGCTCAACTTCAACGAACGCAGCCGAACGCACTAACCACTGACGCCATCGAGCTCCTCACAGTTCACGCTTGACAGTACTCTATTCCCTACACCGTTCACAACGTCAACTACACGATGCTAATCACAAAATACTCACTAAACACTGTACTTCACTATACAAGTCTTTAAACAATCGCACTTGAACACTTAACTTGCACTTTGATCGCCTTTGTGTTCGTTCCGAAATTGCTGTTGAAACTGTCTCTGCGCGGCGCCGATCGCGCTTAAATTGGCCAATTGACGCATTCTAGAAAAGACTTGTTAAATTGAGAGTTAACTGGCACCCGCGAGTGCGTAGTATGTACTTTTATATCTACGTAGGTAACGCGCATAAGTTGTAAACAAGTGCAGATGTCATTGCACTTTCTCCCTAACGCCACACTGCATAAGGCTCATATAAGAATGAGCCGCATTACTCGACCTTTATTGCGACCCGCGGTCTCTCACGCCGCGGTGTTCTGGTAAAATCTGTCTCCAGTATTTTCGCGGTTTTGTTTGGAGAGCTTTTGTGACAATATCGATAAAGGAGCAATAAATGGTTAATTTTAATGAGTGACCGTCTTTCTCTAATTTTAAAATTAACAATTTATGATAATATGTTTTTTTTTAAAGCATGTAACTGCTTGATGTTTAAATCTAAAGAAACTATAACTAGAAAAAAATCCACGCGGTCCAGACTAGAGGAATTTCTAGTTATAATTTCTTTAGATTTAAACATCAAGCAGTTACATGCTTTAAAATGCCTTGCAGCTTAAGAATGGCTAGAAAAATTTCGACGCGGCCCGTGAGGGCCGCGGTAGCATAATTGGTCAGTGCATTCGCCCGGATTGCGAAGGGTGCGGGTTCGAGTCCCGGCTGCTGCCTAATCCGCATGGATTTTTTTCTAGTTATATGTTCTTTAGATTTAAACATCAAGCAGTTACATGCTTTAAAAAAATAAAAATTATAACTATAATTACTATTTCTTCTTTCAAATGTTTAATACTTGTAAAAGTATTCATTTGACATTGTGGGTTACCTATAATACGAAGAGATGGCGCTGCCTTACAGCTTAAAAATGGCTAGAGGAATTTCGACGCGGTCCGTGAGGGCCGCGGTAGCATAAGTGGTCAGTGTATTCTCCCCGGATTGCGAAGGGTGTGAGTTCGAGTTCCGTCTGCTGCCTGGTCCGCGTGGAATTTTTTCTAGTTATATTTTCTTTAAATTTATGGAAAGTTTTTGATATGAGTATTAGGCATGCGTCCGATATATCAAAACGAATCCAAAATCCGATTTCAAACACAAATCGATACCGAACGATTTCTCAACAAGAAAATCCGATTTCAGAAATCTAACCGAACCAAAACGCTAGCGATCTAATACCACCACAAGTCCACAAGTATCCAAATGTAAATCGGATTCGAAATTCGTGCTTTCGTTTTCGGAAGTCAGATTTCGTGCTCGGAAGTCCGATTTCGGTTTGCTGTTTACGGAAATCTATTGTTCTTCTCTAAGGCGGGATTATTTATTACTGAAAAAAGATGTCTAAAAACATCAAAAGTCGAGCAACTGACATTTTTTTGAACGCTAACCTGAAGTAATTAGGTTTGATTTTGTAAATGGTTTGAAAAATAATAAAAACAAACAGAAAAACCAAAAAAAAATACTAAAAAAATATGTAAAAAGAAATCATTTAACATAAGCCGATTTTTAAATGCGCCGCAAAAGTTTTACTCTTATCCGTAAAGATAACTTTTCTGCTAGTCCTAAGCCACAGAATATATACTCTTGCCTAAGCCTAGATTTAAAGCATAAAGGAAAATCGCGCAAAACTACGAGTATCCTTGCTTCGTACAATTAATTGTTTGTGATTGTCGTTAGCTAATAAAACCAAATCATATCACAAACTAGTGAATTGGCTTAGTTCGGCACATCTGAAATCGGATATCTAAAAACGGATTTTAAAATCGATTTTGAAATCTGAAATCCGATAAATATCCGTTTGCGTTCAAAACCAAAAACGCCCATGTCTAATGAGTATCTTATTGACTTAATTGAAAGTATTTTTCAGCGGGCAATAAGAAATTTATTTAAAATATTGTGTTTCGTTCCGACCGCTATATCATATCTGACTACTACGAACCGAGTAATATCGCTAGTATCATTAAATTAATACGTGAACGAACATTTTATAGTAACCCCCTTTAAAGCACATTTGGCACAGGGAGGCATGTGAGATTTTTTAAACAATAGTATACGGAAAAGGAGTGCAAACCTATTCACAAACCACTTACGAGCACGTCCGAATCACAGTGATCGAAGCCGTTCCAAGGATAATTACTCAGTGATTACGGTACCCGACGACGACCTAAACCAGCGGTGATCAAGTTCTAATTGGCCCCAAACGAGGCCCGACGATAGCCATGTCACACAGCAAAAGCACTCCATTTGTGGTTTATGTCTGATAATAACCTATCGTATTTTCGATAATGTTGTTGTTGATTGTGATGTTCCTGGAACTGGGATTATTCGAAATTTCCGGAACTTTACTTGTTGTAAGTTGGCGGACATATATCTTATCTATTTATTTAACGTTCAATTATTAGATAGGTATATTATGTTGGTTTTTAATTTCTAAATGTGACTGTTAGACAAAGGATTGTCTTCATTTTCATGAGGACTATCAAATTTACCAACAATAGTGCTAAGGGTACTGTTGCCACTCTCGCGTATTAAAACCATCTATACGCGTCTCAACAAACATAGCTGAAGCGCCACAAAAATACGGAAGTCGCAGCAGCGCCCTGAACGCATTATTCTATTGTATGCGCAAAACATTAGAACCCCTCTGGGTTTTTTACCACATACTCGTTAAGTAGAATAATGTGCAATAAGCATTAAAAAGATGTGTTATATTAACTGTTTGAGTACATAGCGCGAATCTACGGGAGAACATTTAAACACGGACCGACAATGCCCTGCCTCTCCATATCTGCATCGTCCCTAAGGTCATCGGTCACAAACTATCCTAGGTACTTGAACTGATGCGCTCTCCTGAGAAGAATACCATTTAGTTACATGTCCGCAAACTTACCGGCCGCTTCTCCGCCACGCTGAAGACATCACGAGCATTCATATCTACACAGAAACGTACTTATGCAACTGCATCCGCCAGCCGACCCATGGGTGCCGCTCCGAATCGCGAGCGTCGAACAATGCAACAAATGGAGAAGAATAGCAAACTCAGCACCCAACGTGCTATACTGGCAGCAGAACAAAACGGATTTGTGACGAAAAGGGTTTCATCAAGGAAGAAGAAGAAGGCCCGCTCGCCACAATTTGTGTGGTGCTGCCCCGGCTAGACAGAACCATCTGCTGCGTCCTGCAATTCCGCCAACGCCGCCGTACGTGTACCGACTCCATTACTCTACGAAGGAAGAGGAGATCGTAAAGTACCTGTGGATTAAGACCAAATTCCCCTTGAGAGTGGCACGGTTGAAGTCCCATCACAACGTGAATTTCAATTATTTTTGGTGAGGGTGCCAACCGAACACCTGGCGACTTTCATGAAGGTAGATTTTTGGCCGAAAAGCGTTTTGTTCCGGCGGATTCGAGGCTGGAACTACTTGACACCACTCCGCGTCATGTGTGACCTTTGTTGAATTGGGTTTTTATTTACTAACATTTAATGTATTACTTATCTATATAGTAGGTCTTTACCTATGAATAATAATATAATATTATTATTATTTCGAGCTCTTCTGTGCTTCAGTAGGCACGCTAAGCTATTTGTCTCGGCTGCATCTGCAGTCGTCAACACCTTGGGATCCACAAGGGACGAGGCTCATTCTCCCTATTCTATCTAGCTCTTCTCCCTACTCTATCCATAGGGAAGAACGTGGCAAGAACTTTGCCACTGCAATGATACTTTTTTGGCAAACACTCCCAGCTTACCTCCACAGTAGAACAGTATGCACTGGATTAGCGACGTCCATTATCTCTGGCCCCATCGACATGGGGTTAGCGTAAATGTCTATTGTGTTGTTTATGCCGTCCGTTAATGATGACTCCAACACGTACTTGACCCTGAAAAAGTAATCGCAATTAGTGTCTTTTATTAATCCACATTTTGCACTTTAAACTAATTCAACAGTGAAATATATTTAAATTAGTATTCCTGAATATGGATTTACATTGAAACATTTAAATAACAAAAACTTAAAGCAACATAATGTCTAAAATTTTAAATCAATACTTACTACCTTACTTATATAAATATACATCATATTCAAAATAAAAAATATATCACCCCCAGCCAACGCCGCCCTTAGGAATGACATGGTTGGTAGCATTACCAAGTTGGATGGCATGGATTATACGTTTACCAAGGTAACTGCCAGCCTTTTGATCATCAGTCACCTCGATGAGTCTCTTGGACAACTCCTCAAAAAAGGAACGAGCGCTTGGACCCCATGGACCCATGGTCTCAACACCGAAACAAATGTCAACCAAACTTGCATACCCACCTGATAGGATACCGAACACATTCACCTACATATACATACCTATAATTGTACATGTTCTGTAATATGCTGATAATGCAACATCCAATCATGTTGTGCCGCCAAGAAGGGTTGTAGATGTGCTCGTAGTCTTCATAAAAGCGGGTGTTGCATTTAAAAAGTGTGCTGACTGTTATAGAATTATTCATTTTGAGAAGTTGTTTCTTGTTCTTTTCTGTCAGTGGTGCATTTATATAATATAATTATATTCGTTATCACAATCTTAAAGTTTTCTGTAAACATCACCATTATTAGCCTATTAATGTTCCCAAAGCTAGGTCACAGAAATGGACTAAAATACATGATATGGTATGCGAGCCCAGAACATAGTGAGTGACCGAATCTGCAGATTTGGCCACTCACCATGTTCTGGGCACCTACGAGAACCTACGGATCGTCTTCTGATGCTCGGATGAACACATTTTTTTTATTTTAGTTCTGGTTTATGTTGTATTTTCACAATCGCAAACCAAAAGTGTTAACTATTACGCCATCCAACAAGCAATGTGGAGAAATCCCGGCCCCACGCTCAAATTTGACAATATTTTGATTTATAAAATTCTAGGTGCTAAAATTATACCATCCAATGATGCCATCAGCTATTTTGACAACACAGAGACGCTGACATTCTGGATGGGAAATTAGTCAACTAAACCTAAATTACAATTTATTTTATTATTAGTTTATATTTTACAATTATTTTTAATATAAAGCTTTTATAAGTCTTTCAATTTGATACCCATATTGTAGAAAAACATAAATAACTTAGTCTGCCATCTTTAAAAGTCCAATATAATGGCGTTAGAGTGACATCACTTAATTTTTTGAGTTATTCCTATGAAGCTCTTTCATTTGATACCCATATTGTATCTTGAGAGTTCCGTCATATCGAATTTAGAATGAAATCACATAGCTTACCAATCACTGTAAAAAATTCAGTTCAATCGGTCGAAGTAAAAATTGAGTTGCAACATTCCACCCGAACAATATAGCTTAGCAACATACTTCATACTGTGCAACTTAAATAAAAGCTTTTAACAAATAAAAATCATATTACATTACTACGGCTTTGGCCAAAAATAGCGTTAAGGAAAATGCAGCAATTGTATGGTTTTACTAAAAGTATAGCACAATACACCACCAGTTCAAACAATTTTAAAACATTGCTTGGAAGTTTTTCACTAACAATGGACCAGGCTCGCGCGAAGCCTGACTGGTTGTAGGAACGTGACTAAAATTGTGTTGAAATTTTATGAAGTTTAACCGAGTGTTTCGAAATCACATTAAAAATAAAATGTAACAATATTTTTGTAACTCTAACGAGCAAGGGTAAACAATAACACATCAACACTTGCGACGACGGTAAGTTTGAAATGTTATTGTTCAGTGTTTCAATGTTATTAACTACTACGAGTATATATTATATAAGGATATTAATTAATAGAATTAGCATATTAGGTAAATCACTCATTAATTATAACACAATCTAATTGTGAATTTAAATTTATTTTTATTGGTTGCAAAAACCGGTATTGTTATGTTAATACATATATCAATGTATATGCTTTGATTTTATCTCCAACCAATGATGAGTTTTAAGAGAATTATCATATAGTTTGTTGAGTGGCAACGGTTAATGGCAAATACCTATTTGCCATAGTTGCTGGAATAGTGAGTTTATAATAATATTAGCGGCAGACCGCGTCTTCGCCTGCGTTAACATTCGTTTTTGGGAATCCCTCAGAAACCTAACTTTTTCGGGATTAAAAGTATATTTTTACTCAATCCGGGTAATGAACTATATGTGTGCCGAATTTCATCCAAATCCGTTCAGCCGCTTTTGCGTGATTGAGTAACAAACATACAAACTTTCACATTTATAGTATTAGTAAGATATAAGTAGGATGCACCATAACTTGGTCAGCATTTGACCAATGGTCACGCAGAAAGATTTGCACTTGTTATGACGCGATTACATTTGGTCGTTACCCCGAATACAAGTGCCAATAGAATTCGGATAAATGACTAAGTGTAAACGAATGGAGTCGTGTACTCTCGTAAACGGGTAGATTTCCGTTTGTTTACCCGACACCATCTTTCAGCCCGTATTCCAGCGTAAATATTGCTTCGGGTGCCTGAATTCGAGTAATGTCTTTCATGCACCCGAATCCTGGCTAGCGATCAAATATAATTGCGGAATTAGTGACACATGACACACACATGACCAGGATCTATACCTTAACGTGCCGGCTGACTGAAGCATGGAGAAATTTGAGATGACAAATTTTAGTCATCCATCCTCTAATCGAACATATCGAAACATGCTTAACTTTCATGATCGCAGAATTAAATCTCTACGAATGTGCGTACAAAACCTTTCTCAAATACGTAAGGTAATTATACCTACCGTAGATTTCCCTTAACTAGAGCTTCTCGTGTTCTCATTGATGTTACGGAAGTAAACTAAAAGTTTTTCGCATTTCCGGTGCCTGTCGCATTGATCAGTCACCTCGACATAGTTTTTCTATTTGTGCGGAAAACTTAGTTGTTGGCGGTTGGTACTATTATATAATGGTCACTGGCGACTTTATCTGCCGCTTCAATGTTTTATTTCTGTCTTCTATTTAACTCCCTCCAGTTTTATTGCGGCAAAAGTATCCGGTTTTCTGCAGCAAATTCCCGTTTGTACCAACATAATAATCCTAAGATTAATCAAAATCGATTCCCCTGTTTAGAATCGAACATTCCAAAGTTGAATATAAATTAATAGTTTTATTAAAAACCTTTTGAAAGTGTAGTTTTATAATTTAAGGGTATAAAAAAATATTAAAACGGCGATTTGAGATTAGCGATGGCTTTTAACTGAATCAAAGTAAAAATACAGTTATTGTAAACGTAGTCGTAACTGCTTCTTTTTATTTTACTTCCGGACTCAGTATTTTTCATTTAAGTGCTGTATAACTATTCCCATAATTTTCGGAAATTAATCTCATAAACCTCAGCTCGCCGAATATATGTTGGACAGACTACTAATGAAATGTTGTTACATCTGCGTAAACAAAGCCGCGTTTAACACGCACGGATTAAAAGGCTCGGACGAACGATAATTTAGGTCACATGCATTGTAATAATACCAAAACACCAAATTTTTAGTTAAGGCTAAACTAGTTGTTGAGGACTCGGTTCCATGATGAATATGTTTCGAAATGGTCCCGTTAATTGTATAAATAAAAGAAAATGGTAGCTACATAAAAAAATGTATTTGTAACTCCACAAATTATTCACACAGTGGAGACGGGTCCTGTCACGGTCGCCACTTGTTGAAGACCCGGTTCCATGATTATTATGGTCCGAAATGGTCCCGTTAAATAGTATAAATATAAGAAAATGGTAGCTACATAAAAAGAAAATGTATTTATCTATACCTTAACGTGCCGGCTGAGTGAAGCACGGAGGAATTTGAGATGACAAATTTTGGTTTAGTAACTCCATAAATTAATCCACACAGTAAAATTAATAAATTGACAAGTCTGCTATTCATTCGTTGCCTGTTATTCAGAAGCAACCTCAACACTAGTAATGGACAAGGGGGTTTGATTTTTTTTTTAATTCAGGCACTTTTTTATGTTTATGCAGGTAAACGAGGTTACCCATGTGGTCGTCCATGGACACTTGCAGTACCGAGGGTACCACTCATGCTTTGCTGACTCTGAGGGTGTTTTTTTGCCTCTCTTTGGGTGCTTGTTTTTTTTTGCACCTCATTCTTTTGCGCTCTTTCTTTTGCGCTTTATTCTTTTTTATATATATACTCGTACATGTTCTTTCTTATTCTAAATTATGCATTAATGTTAATATTTCTGTTTACTCATTTCTTAAATTCTTATATCTATTTTACATACATTTCTTGACTTTTTACATTTTCGCTTCTTTATATATTTCTTATTTTTATTATACTTATTTTATACTACATTTTAAATTAATAGATTTACTCTATTTCAATTCCACTTTTTATTTACAATTGTGGAGCTTCACTTACTAATCCTTATTTCTTTTTTTTACTTTCTGTACTATTTCACGACTAAACTCTAGAGTTTTCCTAGGAATAGTTTCCTTTTTTTCTCGTTTTTGATAATTTCTCTTAGGGTGTCCCTACTGATTTGTGTATCTATGCGTGTCTGTAATGTGTGTCAAGGCAAGACGTTACATTGAAATAAATGTAGGTACATATTACAAAGTATACGTCTATTTTTTATGGGTAACAAATTATTACATTAACTCATTTCTAATATTAATAGAAACGACAATACTTTTTAAAATAACAATACGAAGATTTAAATATCTTCAGATATCTCATACGCACACGCGTTCCGCGGACCATTAGGAGGGTCGGCTTTATGGCCCACTATGGGAACTTTGACTCATTTTCATCTCAAAAAACTATAACTCTTGTTTTATTAAAGATATCATCATGATTTTTTTTTAAATCTTGAATATATTTGCTTTTAAGTAAAGTATAATTTGTGTATAAAACTTTATTCATAATACTTACAAAAAAATAGGAAAACCAAAAAATATACTATTTTAGACTTATATCTATGTTATAAAGATAACTACTAAAAGTAACTGCTTAAAATTAAAGAGGAAACATCATAGTAGCTCAAAAGTCACTTAAGAGCTACTTTGCTTCATCAAGAAGTTCTAAATATTTTTTATTATAAGGTTTTCTCACGCTTGTAACGTACGGATCAGAGGTACGCAATAGTGTGTGTAAAACATCTTCGTTAGTGGCTGTCCTCAAATATTTACTTGCATGATGAAGCCTGAACTGTTTGTAGTTTTTGTTCCGTGACTCTTGGGCATCTTCCGAAAGTTACCCAGGAGGCAATACCGAAAAATGACGTATGACACTTATACCATGAATCAAAACCTTGTGTACGGAAGATGGCATATAGTACCATATATAAATGGTAATTAATGGGCCGTTTTATTTCTTATTTTTTTTTGTCCTTTAACCTCCGACAATAGAAATTGATATTCTGTGAAAATTTCAACAGCAACGGAATTGTTCACCATTAAAAAGTTATTTAAATAAGACTACAACAGCATATGCCTATATTTTAATGGTGACCTACTATAACCGTTTTCCACAAATCAATGCGAATGAAACCGCAAGGCACCTCTAGTGTAGCATAAAGTTTACATGGTTTTTGTATTACTTAATCGTTTACGCATCAC